GATTATGATTTATATTATCCATTTAATTGTCTATCATATTTAATTGTCCAGTTTTTTTAAATAAGTAATATCAAATACAACTAATAGAATTTAAACTAATTAAATAAGAAAATATTTGTTAAAAATTTTTTAATTAAAATAATCCAATATTAATACTTATAGTAATCCTGTATAATTTTTTAATATTATCGTTTATATTATCGTTTATCAGGAATTATAATTGCAATAATTTAATTATAGGTCAAATAATTTCAATCAATTTAGCTTAGTATATTAAATTTCTACATGTACTCTTTTTAACAAAATATAATAATAAGTATTCAATTGTCTTATCACATGAATTTCACACATAAAATCTTGCATTAATAATTTTTTCAAATTCAGATTCCTTGACAGAACATGTACCGGTCACGCATCTCTTTCTATAAAATTTAATTTTTTTCTTGTTCCACCATCCAGTCGTGGTTTTATATTGATTGTATTATAGATTACTTCTGTATATATACATTTCAATTGAAAATTCATAATAAATAATTTTTCCACCAAATGTCTAAAATTAAATTATGTAGTGTAATATACCGTGGTGTAATTTTTTAAAATTTCGATAGTAATAAAAACAAAATCAAGTATGGAAGAATTAATTTGTATTCTTTTAAAATTTATTAAAATAATATATTTTACCAATTCTAATTTTATAATATTTTCTGTCATATTTTGCTTAAATTATATAAACAGTATTATTATAATTAATTATACATATAAAAAGTTTTTCCTTTGCTCATTGATGATTTTTGACCTTAATTATTTTTATTTGTATTTAGTATTTGTGATTTATTATTTGTTTATTACTTTCAATTTATTTTACAGATTTTGTGATTTTATTGTCATCTAGTTTTAATTCATCTTTCTTTTATATTTTTATAATCGAAGAATTAAATGACTATTATTAACTGATTATTGATAAACTATTGTAAATGATAAACTATTGTAAAATAAAAAATTGTAATAAATTGTAATAAACTATTGTAACTGACTATTGAATAAGCTTTAGATGACAAAATATTTGTCGACGGATCATATTCCTAAAAATCGAAATTAATTTTAGAATAAATACAGAAAATTACACCTCAAAATTATCGATTTATTGTTGCCGTTCTACATCTTTAATAATAAGCTGTGTTTGTTGTGGAGCTTGTTGAAATTAATTTTTTTAAGATACATATTTAGTTAAAAAATTTTTAACAAAATTCTTTACGCTATATTCATCATTAACACAAATGGAAGCCATTAAAGAAAATCTCTATTATATCTTATATGTAGCAGGTGAAATTTTTAATATGTATTATTAGTATATTAATTATGATAAATTAAAAGTATTAATTTAAATCATTACATTATTAATTGATAGGAGACTATAAATAATTTATTTTTTACAATTAATTTTCCATATTAAACTAAATTTTTTTAATATTTATTTATAATCCAATGGTAAAATCGAAGGATTTTAATACAACCCATCCTTTAAAAGCGCTGACTTTTTATCTTTGATTCGTTTTAACTCAAAACAAACTAAAACAATAAAAAATCATAAATCTTTTGATAATATTGCATAAAATTAATGATACAATTACTAAAATAATTTAATAGTAAGGATGATTATGTTATAAAAATAAACAGCGCCTTTGGCAGAATATGACTTTTTATTCTGTCGAATATATGGAATTCCACCATATAATTTCTACATAATTTTTGAATGAATCTTTATAAATTACAATTATTTAAGATTAGTTTAGACATGATATTTTATTATGTTTTAACATATTATTTCAGATAAAATTTAAAAAATAATTATTTTATAAATTTTAAATGGTCTCGACTATTTTGAAGTTAATGGTCTCGACTATTTTTAATGGTCTCGACTATTTTGAAGTTAATGGTCTCGACTATTTTTAATGGTCTCGACTATTTTTAATGGTCTCGACTATTTTGAAGACGGGTAAGAAAAATAAGCGAATGTTAGTAGGAGAAAATGAAAAGAAAGTTGTCATTGTTAAAGTAGATTTTCTTCGGTTTCGAGTTAAACGATGTGTTCGAGTTGTCACCCAAAGTAACTATGCTATAACCTCGATTAAAATTGTCGATGCCGCGCCCTTTGATATGGTCCGATCCACATAGGCGAGATGAATCTGATCATAGATGCCCAGGCCAGAATGACGATACCAAGTTTACATGACAATTACGATCCTGTTTAAGTGAGATAATATAAAAGAAAAGCGATATCAAAAGTTATGATCGCATCATTTGAATCTCCTGCAATCCTTTTAGCGCTAGATATTTCTCTTATTCCACCTAGCCTTTTTTGCCCTCTAGATCTTGTTAATCCTCCGAATATATTTTAATTAATTCTAATCGCTCTAACTTGAATGACATTACTTGTCGGGTTGATACCTCTTCAAAAAATTAGATACCTCCCTCGTTTTTCAGTATACTTCCCTCGTTTCTCTATACATTTTTGATTAATTATAGGAACAAATGAAGTAACATTCATGGGATCCTGCTGTCCCAATTCCCGAAATCTGGAAGTTATTTTTTGTACCGGCAGGATCCCAAGTATATACCCCACAATAAAAATGTGAGGAAGAAAACCACAAAAATAGCAAAGAAAATTATTTAATTATTAAAATGAAGAAAAAGACACAAAAGATTGTTAATATTTAGTCATTAATTTCCAAATATTTTTTCATAAGAGCAATTTTGATCGAAAAAAACACATAAATTGAATTATCAATTTTTATTTCTTCCTTTTTCAGCGCCGCAGGCGAAACGGGTATCGGGTAACACGTCCCATTTCTGGTATGTAGTATATTTAAATATTTTGTATTGAATAAAGTATGTATCGATTTAATTTTGGAAAATTTAATTTTTGAAATTATAGAATAATATTTACTGTTTGTTTTAGTAAAATTTATTTTTTAATTTTAACTCCCTCGTGATTTTTGGTAAAACGAGCGTATTTACGCAAATTCAATTTAATATTAGGATTCTCAAAGATTTTTTATACCTTTTATTTCATTTATTTATTCAGGATAACCCCCATTTTACCGCAAATCCAACTTTTATCTCTTAAATTTAAACCAATTTTCATGGTACCATTCAGCTTCTGCGGAAAAATTATAACCAATCTCTAGCTTTATTTGTTTTCTCTTTATAAAAATTAATTTTACCTAAAACACTTTTGTAGTTTGTAAATTGGCAAAATCAAAAGTCACTTAATTCTATATAGCGTTTTATTTAATACTTTAGATTTTGGATTTAAGGGAAAAACGTACGTATTCATTCACCAAATTCTAAACGTGGATTTCCAATCCTTTTTGTTTGCATTGATTTTTTATATGATACCTCCACAATTACCGCAAAGCCAACTTTTATCTCATAATTTTAATCAATTTTCACGACTTCATTTAAGTGGCAACCATTTATTAATTCATTTTGTTTACCTAAAACTCAATAGTAGTTTGTAGATTCAGATTACACTTTACATTACGCCTTATATGGGCTTTATATAAAATGCTGGTAAAGCTTGGCAATATATATATCATTTTAATTAATTTAATTAATATCCAAAATATTGAAGAAAATAATACCGTCCCTGATACACATCCAAAATATTTCTTAAGTGTGGATATCAGGAATTTTTGATGGATATTATTTTTAGTTGAAGGGATATGTCTATTCTTTGATATGTCTCCAAAATTCTTTCATAAAAGCCGGGAGATCGGGGGAATTGGAGGGATTGGGAGGATACCAAATGATTTATATGGATCTCGTGAATTTAAAGGGATATTAGAGCATGTGAAGGAAACTTTGTCCATAATTGTCCGATCGACTCTGCCCACACCTAGTTCGGCCCAGTTTTCCAGGTAATTTCGAAAGACACCACAATTAAAAACAACGGGAAAGAGTGTACTAAAAATAAAAATTTTCAGAAAAAAGAATTAATTAAATGGCTTTTTTAAATAATATTATTCTTATTCTATTTTTATTTTTAAATTTATTTATATTATTTAAACCAATTAATTGTGCTTGTCTAGAAAAAAATGAATTCAATTGTGACAATAACAAAAATAAATGCTGTAGTGCTCTAAATTGCAAAACTAATGCAAATGGTGGTTCATTCTGTAGACCTTACAATTGTGTTAAACAAGGTGCTCAATGCAATTTATCAAAAGATAAGTATTGTTGTTATGGATCTATTTGTTCTGTCAACACATTAAAATGTGAAACGTGTTTAAAGGCAAACGATCCGTGTGGTAATGATGGTAATGCTTTTAAATGTTGTGAAGGTCTGAATTGTGAATCAACTGGTATTGAAGGACTTGGCGTTTGTATTTCGGAATACTAAACTGAATTTTTATTCTTCTGTTCTTATAATTAATAAAAAAAACTATTCTTTTTTACTTTTGGGGTAGCATATCTAAAAATGAATATATTTTTTGATGAATAAAATAATTAAGTTGTTTCGAAATTGATGATTATATATTAAGACTATTTATAGATTCTTTATTGAGTCCATTCGAAAACTGAACTCTTCTTTGTGGCCGAAATATAAAGTATTGTTATTTATGTATATAATTAGAATTCGTCATAGATCTCGTAAGAACCTCGCTAATTTTTGAAATTAATCTCGGGTATAATTTCGGAATACTAAACAGAAAGCAAATGGGTCAAATCATATGTCATTCGAAAGAGCTTGTGAGTTGAGTCGAACGTTGGTAAAATTTTCGTCCGTACTCATACAGGTGCTGAAATACAGGTCCCCGAAAATCGAAAAACCGTAGGGAAACCGTGGCTATTCATTCAACAAACGTAGAAAAACCATAGCTATTCATAAAAAATTCAAATTTATTTTTTCGAGTTTTTTAAAAAATTATTTTCATTTCAAAAAAATTTTATCATATAAATCAGTTAATAATTAATTTTATTTTCTTCCAACCAATAAATTACATTGCATATTCCTGCGTCCATTCACGAACCTTGGCATTGTAAGCAGCACGATCTTCGACGTATAATTCGGCAGCTTCCTCATTCAACGGACTTTTTGGGTTTGGATCGTCGAAAAGAGAGCAGATTGAAAGCAAAACTGAAAATTGAAATTGGAGATAATTTGTAAAAAAATTGTGATTTGATTTCCTTTACTAAGCTAAAAAAAACTTAAGCCTGTTATCAATTTTCTGAAAAGGTGGGAATCCGTGTCAGGACAAAACCCCGTCCGACTATAAGTCGGTTTACAAACGACATGACTCAAATGTCAAACAGTCAACACCAACGTTTGTCGATGTTGTTTCATGGAATCGCAATCTAAACCTGAGCACTCGAAATATCCAGAACCTTAGCACTCGAAATAGCCTCCAACCCAACTTTTTTACGAGATCCAACCCAATCCAACCACAACGAAAATTCTTTTTGTAACGTCTCAACGCCCTCCCAAAGTGTCGTTGTATTGGCCTGACGCCGAATCCCTCATTCCCAAAATTATTTTTTGAAATAGTCAAAGCCGGCGTCCATTTATTTTGAAGAATGTCCAGACAAATGCATCCCTCATTATTAATATTTGGATGGTAAATCTGTGTTTTAAAACTAATCTTTGGCGGTTTAAACGGATATTCTTGTGGAAAGTTAATTTTTAAGTAAAACACTCCTCCTTGATAAGGCGAATTTGGAGGCCCAGTAATGGTTGCTTGCCAATTCCAGAGGTCCTCTCCGATTGAGCCTGCATTACACAAAGCTGGAGGTTCTTTTCCAGAGTCTAAAAGCTCCTGAAAAATGTAAAAAATTATTCGGAACAATTCAAGTTCGTAAAATTTAAGTTCAAATATTCGAAAATTTCGCTTCTGATCGTAGAATTAGCAAAAAATGTAAGAAATCTGACTTCTTTTACTCCAAAATTTCATGTTTCGCTTGAGGAGCTTAAAAAAGTCTGACTGAAACTTTGAGCTCGCCTCTGCATAGTTGATTACCTGCTGGTAAACTTCTAAAATATCTAAAATATCGATAAAGCTCTTCCTTTTTTGGGAGATGAAAAAATAAAAAAGGGCTGGATCCAGCACTGCACGTAATTGCGGATTCGTATATTAGCGGGGGTTTTTGCAATTGCAAGTTGCGACTTGTGAAATATTTTTTCCAATTGCGTGCAGCCCTGGTAGTGTCCCTTCCATTTTTCACTAAAAAAATTTTTTTCAAAAAGGATGACGAGGATCGGAAGAAGGAATGTACCGACTGAACGAGTTAACAATACGACTTAATCCTTTCAATTTTGACTACTTAAGAGGATAATTATGACTATAAACCAATCTTATGAATTCGTTTTAATGCCATTTGATAAAAATTATATGTAATCAAATATAATTTAAAATCTAAAATTTAAAAAATTTTTAATCGAGGAACAAGGATGTGAGACAATGTTTTCTTCATTGATAAAATGAATCGACTCTATTTAAATTAAAATACTTGATTAATTAATAATTTTGTTGTAAGAAGTCGATTTATAGGTCTGAACTTCCAAAATAAGTACGAATAGAAGCCTGGTACAATGATAAATTATTATAGAAAGAAAAAATGTTTTTACGATGACAGATTTTTGTCTGAACCGACAATAACAGGGATACTGTTCCCCGTTCCTTTTGCCTCTCATCCTTAGAAAATTCCGATTTTAGATAAAAAGCAAAAGAACCTTCAAAAAATTTGAATTATTTTCTTTTTTATATGCCAATTTTACGTTTTTCGATTGATAATAAAAAGTAAAAATATATAAGGTCAATAAGTTCAAAAAGGTTTTACCTATTTTTTCCCTATTTTTCAAAAAAAGATTATTTATATTGCCCCTTGTTAAATTCTTTATTATTTAACGTTGACCTAAAAAATATTTTAGTCAGGCAATTTGATGAGACTAACTTTATTTAAGTTAAATTATTTTAAATAAAAATTCTCATAGACAAAAAATTATTTGAATTTATTAAATTAGATATCCGAAAACATTGGGTTAGTTTCCTAGAAATAGAAAAAATTGATAGGTTTAGCATATTGGCTTTCCAAAATGATCAAAATTTTTGCCAACGGCGCTGATAGAGGAAGAAATAAGTCTTCGATTTTGTCTGAACTCGACAATTTACTAAACTTATTTTATTCTTATAAACTAAAACTTACAAATTTAAAGTCGAAATTGGGGGTTTAAAAAGCTTTATTATTTTTATTTTATTTAATACAATGATAGAAGAAGATGCTTTTGGGGAAGATTAGTATTGTTTAAATATGTAAGGATTACATCAGTATAAAAATGTCAAATTAAAGAAAGAATTTGAAAAGGTGATGATACATGAAAAAAGGGTATTTTAAAGAGAAAAATAAGATGAACGTAAAAAATGCACTTTAAAAATGATTAATTTAAAAAATGTCATTTAAATCACTTTAAATTATTTTTACATGTCGATCCTCGACACTCCGAGGGCAAATTGATTGAATTAAGCTTGTAAGTAGTAAACGTAAAAGAAGTGGGAGTAGGCAATAGAACATAAAGAGTAGTGCCAGAAGAGTAAAGATAAAGATGATTAAATGTGTTGGGTTGATTAGGTAGTAGAGAAGATTGAAAAAGTCGAAGTGGAGTAGCCAAGATAGAGATGAGCTACTTTCAATTTTTGCTTCTTCATTGCCAACTACTCTCCACGTGTTTATATAATTCATTTCTACAGCTGCTAGTCTACCTTTTAGAAAAAAGGTTGTTGGATGTAGACCACAGAACACTTCACACTTTTCTTCTACTTCGGCGTGCGCGATTGTGGTTGATATCTTTTGTCCAATTCCTTTTGTATCACAAAGTGCGAGTATTTTTGTACTTGGACAGATAATATTTGCGAGGGATTTCCCAAAATCTGTAGAACAAGTCAACTCTATATTCGCGCCCTCATTACAATCATAACATCCTGTTATACTAATATTTGTGACTAAACACTTATTAAGTTCTATTTCTGTTTTCAATCTCATTCCACTTAATTTTAACTGAAATGTGGCAGATGAAAGTTCAGTTGAGGCAATTATATTTCCTAGCTCATTTTTAATCAAAATTCCATTGTGTGAAAAGGGTAGGCTATTTTCAGAAAGGAATATTTCATTTTGACTTTTTATTTCTTTACAATCACAATTTATTTTATTGTCGGCTGGCCTGCAGTGGCAGGTAGTGGGATCGATTGAGCAATTTAAAAATGTCTTAGCTTCAGTCATTGACCTGCATTTAAATTTTCTCAAAATATTTTCCATTTCAGTGTCTATTTTAGCTATTTTATGTTTATTTGATACAAATGTTGATGAAAGCATAGGGATTACTCCCATTGTTATATCCTTAACTGTTATTTCCATATTTCGATCAGACATTTTCATACCTGGATTTAGATTATATGTACATTTTGTCATATTTCCCGAACTATCAGTAATTGTTTCATTTATCCTAAGAACTGGTTCCCATTTTTCACAAGTGAATATTTCTAAAATCTCCTTTTCGGTTGGCTGGAACCAACCCCCGTCTGACTCTACACATTGAGATATACCTGGAAATTTATTCACATCCTTTAATTCTTCAATTTTCTCATTTGCTTTTATTTCACTACATTTATTTTCCTTACAACTCCCCTCCGAGAAACAGCGTTTGACTGACATTGATCCTATTTTCCAGGTTCGCGTGTAAAATTTTATAACTTTTGTACAAATCATTTCTGTGTAGTGGACTTCTAAGTCTATTGTACCTGCTAATTTCCCCATGTGATCATTCAATAAAATTTTTACAGTTTGTTCATGGGGATTTAAATTTAACTCTAAAATATCCTCGAATAAGCAAGTTCTCTCCCCTTGGCGATTTACTGTACATTTTTCCTCTTTAGCGGTTATTGTTGTCAAACTTTCTCCGGTTTTAATTAAAGAAAAAACAATAATTGTTACTATAATTTTCATGGGTAATTTTGAGTTTTTAATTTTTGGCGGAATAATTTCATATTTCTCTTTTCTCTCTTCTCTTTTATTTGTGCTATTTCTATATTTTATTATTATTTTTCCAACCCATCGAAGACAACGAAATTTTCCTCGTACTAAAAGTCTCACTATGTAAAATAAAATTTTTATAATTTTAAAAGTCATCAATATAGTACTTGTTAAAAAATATATCGCTATCCCTAGCGATATCATTGCTATCTCTGGGTAGCAGTGTGGATTTTTCAAATACTCCCAACAAAATGTACAATCAATAAGTTTGCAAATATCTTTGTGGTTACACTTTAATTCTATTTCTTTTATTTTCTCTCCCTTTCTAAAGAAACTTGTAAGGACAACATAATCATTTACTAGTGTTTTCTTTGCGAGCGTTTTATTTTCAATTTTTTCAGGAAAGGCGGTATATTCACATTTTTGATTTAGACACATTTCAAACCCGCTTAATTTATTTTCACTAGTTATTTGAATTCCTTCACTTGTACATTTTACTTCACACATTTCGCATTTTGATTTTTCCTTTTTCTCTATAAAGTCATAAATTTTAATCTTTGTTTTACCCCAGGCACGTATGGGGATATTACCAAATCTAGTTTCAAAAAATGCGATCTCATTTCGGGTATAATAACAGAATTTAGTGCCTTTTTCATAACAATGATGTTTTTCACAGTATTTAGCAGATCCAGTTATGGGGCCGTTACCAATGCACATAAATTCATGTTCAATTAAATCGTCTATTATTATGTTTAAATTATTTACAAGTATTTTACTTCCATCATATAACTCTATTTGGTCTACTTCTTTTATTGATTTAGTTTTAGCGCAATTTGCATTTGGCTCTATTGAACAAATTTTCTTTTTTATTTCGTCAGAATTTAAAATTCTTTTTACTTTTTCATTTTTTAAAGTTGAATTTCTACTTGTTGGTCCAATATAAAAACTACATTGATTAGTCCACGCGGGGCATTGGCACCTTTCTCCACAGTATCCCGCTTTATCTTTTCTTATTCTTAAATGGCCTGTACCACAATCAATATTTTGCCAACAAAGTAGACCCTTTTTATCCCGATTTATTACTAATCCGTTTGAAATGCATTCATGCATTTCTACAAATTGGAGCTGTTCATTTTTTGCGCATGGGTTAGCAACACTAGTGATTCTTGTAAAATACAAATATATTATAAAAGCAAACGCTACCCATTTATTTATCACTTTATTAAAAAATTTTAAACGCTCTTTATTTTTTGTTTTATATTTGTTATTGATTTTTGGTTGTTTTTTCCAATACTGTTCAATGCTTTCTTTAAACGGGTTAACCTTTTTTATTTTTTCCAATAAATGAAGATTTTTAAATTCCTTTGCTTTTATTGGGTCATCTGGAATCGGATAACAAGTACATGGATGTGTCCGATCTATACAATAACATTCTTCATCCTTCGAAAATTTACAAGGGCAAATACAATATAAAGTTAAAGGCCTTCTTTCATTGTACTTATTATTTATAATTGGTTTTCTTTTAATTCGGGCTTCTATGGGGTCCTCTGGCACACGTATGAATAATCCTCTATTTACCGGGATAGGACCTCTATTTATTGCTCTTTCGATTTCAACTGCTTGATTATTTCCGTATTCACTATCGTCACTTTCTTCTTCTTCACTATATGGCTCACCATCACTCTCATCTGTATAATACATTATATGAATATCCTCTTCTTCTATTTCATTCTCATTATAGTTGGGTTGGTTTTTTCTTGCTCTTAATTTCATTGTATGGATTCCCTTTTCTATGTTTTCTTTTGCAGTTTTTTCTTTACCTTTCTGACTCAAAATTTTTCTTCATTTTTAAATTCCTTTTCTTTATTTTCAGTTTCAGCGAATAATTCCAAGGGGTATAGCAAAGCAATAGCTCTTGTCAATAATTTCCCTTTCGATTTTATTTTGGCTGAGCGTATTAATCCGTCTTTGCTTTTCACAAGTTCTACGATTTTTCCCATTTGCCAGTAATTTTTCGGAATATTTTTATCTTGGACCAAAACAATTTCACCTATTGTGGGAGAGTAATTTCTTTTTGCGACCTTTTGGCTATGCTTGTCCTTTCTCTCTCTGAGTTGATTCAAGTATTCCTTTTGCCAATTTTCCCAAAATTTTAATAGCATTTCATTTGCTCTTTTCCATTCTTTAATCAATTCATCCTTTTGGGTTTCTTTTAAAATAAATTCATTTTCATCTAAATCATCTAAGTTAATTGTATTTTCGTTCCTTTGGGGCATAATTAAATCTATGGGTCTTAAATTTTCATGAGAATTTTCAAAATCTTCATACACATAAGTGAGCGGTCTCGTATTCATTATTTGCTTTACCTCTATTAAAATTGTTCGCAATTCTTCAAAAAATAATAATTTTCTACCAATTGATGATTTAAGGCATTTTTTCATTATTTTAACCATACACTCATAAAAACCGCCAAACCAATGACTGAGTGAGGGGATAAAAATCCAATTCATATTTTTCGTTTCTAATTTTTTCTGTATTTCTAAAACGACTTTTGATGTTAATTGGTACTGTGTACCATTGTCACTAATAATTCTTTTTGGCAGTCCATATTCAGCTATAAACCTCCTAAATACCATAATACAGGATTTTGCGCTTAAGTCTTGAACTATCTAGTGTGTGAACCGGGTGGACATACACGTAAAAATCTCAATCCAACATTTATTTATTAACCCTTCTTTATTTTTCACTTCAAATGGTCCAGCATAATCAACACCGCAATTTTCGAAGGGTTTTGATTTGTTTACTCTTTCCACTGGCAAATTTGGCATATTCGGGATTTCAAACGGCTTTAATTTTAATCTTTTACATTCAAAACATTTATCGATCACTGCTCTCATTTTTCGCCTCCCCGCTGGAATCCAAACGTCATTTCGTAATTCTACAAGACTTTGACGTACTCCACTATGAAATGTTTTTAAATGAGCTTCAAAAGACATTAAATTAGCAAGAGGTGAATTATAAGAGACGAAAATTGGATTTTTTGCTGTTGAATTTTCTAATCGTCCTAAACAAGTCCAAATCCCGTATTTCTCTTTTTTCATCATTAATTCTTTTATTTCTTTTTCGGTAGGTGGGTCTTTATGTTGTGATTGTAGTATTATTAAATATTCTGCTAATTTCTTAATTCCTAAACTAGTTTCTGTATGTTTTAATTCCTTCATAAATTCAGTATTTACTTTAAACTTTTTTATAAATTTTTTCAGTGCTATGCAGACCTTTTTAAAAATATTTACCAATTTTGGGTATTCATTTCTTATTTCCAAATTAATTACTTCACCTACCAAAATATCTATTTTTATTTCTTCAATATTTTCTTTTTCTTTTGGTTCTAATTCAACCATTGGTGGCCATTCTTTTTTATTTTTCTTCAGAAAGTCCGGGCCTTCCCACCACATTTTATTACATTTTAATTCTTCACAATTACATCCTCTTGTGGCTAGGTCCGCGGGATTTTTACCGGTAGGGACATATCTCCAGTTAATATTCTTAATTTCCCTAAGGTCTAAAATTCTTTTCTTTACAAAACGTGGCAATTTTTCTTCATTTGAAAGTAAAATCCAACTTAAAATGCACTTACTGTCTGACCAAATAAAATAATTTACAATTTCTATATCACTTTCTTTTTTAATAAATTCTGTCAATCTTTTACCGGCCACTGCTCCCATCAGTTCTAAGCGTGGAATAGTCATTTGATTTTTTAAAGGGGCGAGACGGCTTTTTGCAAAGACTATGGAAGTGTTTATTTCCCCCTTTTCTTGCTCTCCCTTTAGATAGGCAACACTTGCAAAACCTTTAGAAGAGGCATCCACAAACACGTGTAGTTCGACTGCTTTTTGTTTAAAAATTGATTGGCGTCGGACACAAAAATTTCCAAAATCGTTTTTTATTTCCTTCCATTTTTCTGTATTTATTTCATCAATTTTATCGTCCCAACCGTTTTGATTTTTCCATAATTCTTGAACAAATAATTTCCTTTTAAAATTTACTGGGGCAATTAATCCTAAGGGGTCGAAAGTTTTGGCTATCCCTTTTAATACTTTTCTCTTTGTCCAAATTTTTCATCTTCTATTTTATTGAGTTTTACCATTAAAGCGTCTTTATTCATGTCCCATTCTAGTCCCAATATTTTACTCGGATTTTTCTGTTCTTTATCTCCAAATAATTTATTAACAGTAGGAGAATTGGCATTAAATTCGTGTAGATCCATTTTAGCTTCCTTAAATATTTTAATAGCATTTTTACATTTATCTATAGCTTCTTTCTCACTTCTGGGGCACCACTTCTTCTCACTTCTGGGGCACCACTACATTTATCTATAGCTTCTTTCTCACTTCTGGGGCACCACTTTGTCTGAACTCGACAATTTACTTAACTGATTTTATTCTTATAAACTAAAACTTACAAAATTAAAAGCCGAAATGGGGGTTAAACAGATTTATTTTTATTTTATTTAAATTACAATGATAGAAGAAGATGCTTTTGGGGAAGATTAGTATTGTTTAAATAGGTGAGGATGGAAATGTCAAATTAAAGCAAGAATGTAAAAAAGGTTGATGATACATGAAAAAGGGTATTTTAAAGAGAAAAATAAGATGAACATAAAAATGTACTTTACAAATGATTAATTTAAAAAATGTCACTTAAATCACATTAAATTATTTTTACATGTCGATCCTCGACAGCTTTCATAAAATCATTAGCGTTGTATCCTGGATCGAAAAATTCACCTGAAGTATTTTATAAATTTAATTTTTAATTTAATCAAATGTATGTTTAAGTTTATGGTATTACCGTACCTTATTCAATAACGAAATATTTTATGTAAATATTTAATCATGTATGCTTAGCTTTTGACTTTATATGATAATTTTTCCCTTTATTTAGTTTGTTTTACTTTTGTACTATTTATTAGTGTTTATTCATTTATCTATCTGAATTCTGTTTATTAATTTCTATTCAAAACAAATGCTTTGTTAATTATAAATTTTACTTCGTTAATTTTGATTTGTGAATTCATATTTTAAGGAAGACTTCAGAGATTTTTACATCAGTTTTCCATCATATTCAATAAATTTTTATATTTGAAAAATTTAAGATTTAAACAAGTTTAAAAATTAGCTATCATAATTTTTATAACTGTTGATTAATTTTTATAGTTCTTTAATCTTTGGTAGTGAAGGATTGTAAGATTTTAATTTATCAATGTATAAATATACTCTTAATATACTCTCAATGCACACTATTTTTTAAGGACTTCAATATTTGAAAGTCAACATAAAACATATCAGAATTTTTAACTTTTGGAGAATTTATTTTTAAAACCTGCTATTTTCTTATAAGTGTCATATATGTAAATATTTTTTAAGGCATATAAATATTTTTTTCCATTTAAAAAATATTTTTATTAAAATTTCATTTAATAAAATAATAACGATTTTTATTAAAAATATTTCTTTTACTCAAATTATTTCAATAGTTGTGTATCTAATATTTTTATTTTATAACATAATAAAATTTATTTAAATTTAATTGCACTAGACAATAAAATATTTACATATTTAAAACTTTTTTGCTGAAATTGTCGTTTTAAACTGCTTTAATCTTATTCACGTTTTAATTTTTATTAAAAATATTTAAGTAGCATGGGCATCATAACGAGACAACATTGTACTTACAACGAGACTACATTTGACAAACTATATATTTATCAACATCATGATAAGACAGATTTTTTAATGGTCTTGGAGACCAAACAGAAGTAGCGATTCATTGTATTATGCATTATAAAAATTTGTTTTTGTTTATAAATAATATTTTTTATATATTTATTGTACGAAAATATCCTACTATAGAATAAGACAAATGTCAATAAAACATGAATGTTAATCCAAATTCTTTTCAGATAGATTCGCATGCTCCACTTTTTGTTTATTTTATATTAAATTTATCCTTAAATTTTTATCTTCATTTTTATCCTTATTTATCCTTACTTTATCATTATAATTTTTATTTAGAAAATTTCTTTTAAAAAACTTTATATACCAATTCTCTTCTTTCCATTTCCAATTTTACATCATGTTGCTTTTTATCATTTTAAATCGATATATAATGCTATCTAAAATGCTATCTCTATAGAAATAAAAAGGGAGTCAAATATGAAAATCTTTTTTCCCATCAAGGCAATAGACATGACCCAGTGGTTATTATTAAGTGGCATGGGCCAAATATATTTTACACCCTCCATAATCCAGTACATTTACACTAAATTTTTTGACATGTTCATAAATTTAAAAAGTTTAAAATGCTAGATTTTTTCATACTTTTTGATTTTATTTATTCCTGCTTTATATTGATTTTGCTTTTATCTTAATTAAATAACTTGTTAAACTCTTGTATGCTGAATTTCTTTAATTTTTTGTAAGAATGTTGTCTTTTTTTGAATTAAAATTACTATTTTTTGCTAAATTTATATCCTCATAATTAATTTCTCATTTTAAAATCTCATATTTTTAAAATGATTTTGTTTATCTTTTATTAAAAAATAATAGTAAACAACCAAATTATGATAATACTAAAGCCCGGCTGGAGGGGTCGGTCGATATTTTTCGATAGATATCGAAAAATATCGAATATCGAAAAATACCGAAAAAGTCAAAATTTTCTCGGTCGATATTTTTCGATAAATATCGAAAAATATCGAAACCGAAAAATATCGAAATAAAAGTCTCGATATTTTTCGATTTTTCAAAAAATTTTTGTAACCAATGAATAACAGAATAGACCAAGTAGTTTAAGGAGGTTAAGATTGATTAAATGGGATATTGGTGGATTGGACGGATTAAATTGAATATCAAGGGCTTGTATTTGATATTGAAGGATCAAGTGAGATATAAGCGGATTCTAGCGAGGGATAATGGATTTTAAGGAATTAAGGGGGATATTGGAAGACTGAGTGTGTAACAAGAGATTTAGAGGTAGTAAGACGGATATTGTGGATTTGTGAGATCAGGAGGGATATCAAGGGATTTGTGGATTAAGGGGGATATCGGGGGATAAAAAATCTTGGAATTTGATATGCGTTTTGATATCCATCTCTCCCAAATATCCATCTTGATCGCTCGAGATCCATTTATCCAGTTAATCCTCTATTATTTCTACAAATAGTTGATTACCCCGGATATCCACTATATCCGTCATACTCATTGGATATCTCAAATATCCCAACAAACCTTCGGATATCCAATAAATTCTTCTTAATCGTCAGAAATCTCCCTTATCTACCGAAATCTTTCTTAATTCATATCAGTGTTTTGTAGGGATATCGAGGGAATATGATGGATTAAGGGGATAAGAAAGGATATTCTAACAATCTTATGAGAATCTCGGAAGGTCAAGTTGCAAAATTCTTGCATTTTCAGCGCCGCAGGCGAAAATTTTTAGAATTTATGATGGTCAGGAAGCTAAAATTCATCCTTTTTGACGCCAAAAATTCAAATTTTAGTCAAAAATGACGTTCGATATTTTTTCGATAATTTTTATTTGGTCGGTCGATATTCTCGATATTTAAAATCTTTCGATCGATATTTTTCGGTAAATATCGAAAATATCGAAAAACTCAAAATTTTCTCGGTCGATATTTTTCGATAAATATCGAACCCAAATATCGAAAAATATCGAAAAAATATCGTATCGAGCCGGGCTCTAATTGATAACTACTTATCGGCCTTAACAACATATTCTACAATTATGTTTTTTGTGCGTTTCACGACTAAATTAGGCCAGGAAAAAAATAAGGAAATACATATAAATCCCATCCCTAATTACATATAATCAAGTAAACAATGATTTAATCAAATTTTCTAAGTTGTTACTCCTTAATATTAATAAAACTAAAATTTGAAATAGGACCATTAATGTATCAAAATATAATACAAGGTTAAGGCTGTTTTATAAAATGTTACTTCCTATTATTGATTGACCTATTATTGATTGACCACATTTTTAAGAATTTGCAAAAAAAAATTTTTTTAATATTAAAATTCAAATATTATACAAAACAATTCCCGAAATATTTTATACAAAAGATTAAATATTTAAAATTTACGATAGAATGAAAATAAGAAAGAAAAATAGATTTTAAATAGATAGAATTAAATAAATTGTTTTTGGGAAATTTTTGGATTTTTTAAAAATTTTTTGTGAATTTTTTCTTTTTATGATTTTTGGGCAAAATTTTGTTTGTTTTTTTTGGTTTTTAATTCTTTTAATTTTTAGGAGTTTTTAATTCATTTTTTGGGGAATTTTAATATTTTTGGATTTTTTGAAATTTTGGGCTTATACGTAAAGAAAATCTGTGATAGAAATATTGAAATGAAAAATAAATAATTGAATATTTATAACTAATCATTTCTGCGAAATTTTTTCGTTTTAAAACCGAGTCCAACTTTCTCTAATTTTTTATTTATCTCAGCAATCTCTGGATGCACGGATATTTTCAGTACACTACGACATGTTGGACATGTGCCATGATTTCTACCTCCCTCCATTGTAAACCAACGCATTATACAATCCTGATGGTAAAAGTGTCCACATTCCGTTATTTCAAGTTGTTCACCTTCTTTATACTCTTGCTGACATATTGGACATTCTGTTTCTCCTTTTGTAATAGCTTCATTATATACGATCTTCAGCATTTTATTCTGTAACGAGATTAAATGTTTAAAAATTCAAAAATATTAGGAAATATCATTTTCTATTCTCCAAAAAATTTCTACTTCCTAGAACCAAGCCGGAGTAAACATAAAGCGGCTTCGAAATCACTGCATCGAGATCCGAAATTTAAAACATCTGAACTGTGACTAAGGTTCGAAAATATTAAAGCTGTATCCACAAAATGCCCAATACCAAATCCAGCGCGATACTTAGAGTTTTAGAATGATTAACCCACTCAACTAAACTAAACTTACTATAACATTAGTTCTAATTTCATCAATAAGCCTTTGTTGATACGCTTTACAAAAGTAAATTATTCTTGCAGCTGCTGTCTTATTATTAATCATTTGATCTATCGCTAACTTTCGCTGGTTTTTCACTGTTATTTCGTTTTGTAAGAATTCGTCTAGAAGATTCACATACTATAATTAAATAAAGCCCTTAAAATTATTAATCAAGCGTTCTTTGTAATGTCAAAAGTTGTAACAAGAATCAAAATTCTTTCACTTATAGAATTTTTTGCAAATACCTATTAGGGATCCTACCGTCAAAAAAATTAACCTTTTCAGGAAAATGGTCTTGTTGAGAAAAGTCTTTCATAGTGCGT